GTTCAGTGTCTGGCACTCTGGAGACCAATTAGCAATTGCCATAGAATACCAGAATTGGCAGAACCACCAATCGAGCAAATTCTGCCTGAACACATGTGACAGACGTGAAAGACTCTGGAGAAGTTGTGGAGAACATTATGTTTGCCTGTAGCATCATTTAGCCTGAGGGGTTGGATGGTGGGTCAGTGATAGTCTAGGGAAGTATGTCCCTGGAGGAACACACAAATGTCTACATGCTAGCATTGTCACCCTAACTGCCATTAGGTATCAAGATTAAATCCTTTTTCCCCCACTTTGGTGTCTTTTGTTCTTTTTGTGCTTTGTTTTCCTCATATGACTCATTATGCTTGTATTCATGTTTATTTTTTAATAATACAATAATTTATAATTTTAGTCTATGAAGTGCTCAAAAAAGCACTTTAATCTCTGAAGTTTCAAGATGAAGTACAAATATTAAGTGGAGATGAATTTATCCTGAATCCACTTAGTTCTTCTAAAAAGAAAATAAACATGTGGAAATCACCTCTTGGTAGTCCAGGACTTGTTTTCCCGATGTAGAAGAAGAGCAGCAAGGCAAATATTATGTTTGTTAAGGCATAAACCCATTGAATAACAAACATAATCAATATGGAGCTCAATGCCTGAAAGAAAACAAAGGATATGTTCACATTATTCCAAAAATATCAAGAAAGTCATGAGAACACAATTAAAATATTGTACAGCAAATGTCTGTCATACCCCAATGAGAGCGATCCAGCGGTTACACAACTTTGCATAGAAGGAATTGTGCTTGGGTTGGATTTCAAAGCTTTGGTGTTCTGCTTTATCTCCAGTGCCTGAAAGATTTAAGAAAGGGTCAAATAGGTAGGTAGCTTCTATGATACAGTATATACCTTAATCTATTCTAATGTTTGATAGGTAAATCTGATCACCTGTGCTGTAATTGTGAGTGTCAGCAGGCAAATCCTGCTCAACGTGACCAACATCTGTATAGCCCGTGATTTGAGGCTCCTCTCCAGCCTTGAGCTCTCCTCCTCCACCTGGCCCCTGGTCTTCCTCTGCTAGTGAAGCAGAACTTGTCCTCTCTTCTTTCTCTTCTGAGGAAACACTGGAGTTCGAGTCCAAACCAAAGCTGTCCATTAGCTTCTGCTTAGCAGTAGCCTTTCTGTTCTTGGATGTGTTGTTCATGTCTTGCATGCAGGAGGTCTTCTCAGCTGCAGAGTCCACATTTGAAACAGGTGGAAATATCTGGTCCATGTCCCTAGTGAACTCCAGCAGAGTGCCTTTACTCTGCGGACTCCCGCCATCACTGCCATAGTTTGGAAGATTGGCTTGAATCAGTGACGTGCTGCTGTGCCTGGTGGACCTGCGCTGGTTTCTTTTGCCCACTATGGCGGTGTCCCTCTTATCTTTATTCTGAAGGTGGGAGGTCATGGCCACGCTGAAGTAGGAGTAGTCGACAAAGCTGTAGGTGAGCATGAAGTTGATGGTGACGATGGGCGCCAGTACGTTAACTTGGCCGATGAAAATGAAGGCCATCGTCACCAGGCTCGTCAGAAAGATAGCCGCCACCGGGGTCTTGTTTGGGCCTTTCTGTCAGGGAGAAAAGGTCACACGATATTAGCGATTCCTGTTACAATGTACCAAATGCACGTATTGTGTGCCTCTAACTCAACACATTTTGTGTGACAAAGAGAAATGTCTTATTCTTCCTGGGATTTTGTACATTTGCCACAGCTAACCCTTTGCCAAGTAAAATCGATGTTAGTTTTGAGCAAAGGGGGGAAAACACCAATCCAGAGGAACAGAGACACAATGAAAACGAACATAAAGCTGAATCTGAGTTAAATAAAACACCGATGAGTGATCTTTTCCTGCTGTTGTCCACTGAGTTTTCAAAAGTTCATGTTCAGTGTTTGATTTACCAACAAGTAACAATCAGATGATTACTTATTCATGTTGCTGACAAATGTAAGCTTTATAGCTTGAAAAATGTGGGTCGTATTGAGTAAATTAAAAAGAAATCCATTACACAAAATCTTCCTATGACTTCATCTGGACTTCTTCTGGCCAGTCTGACATGAGATAGCTGTGACGCCCATGAGAAAGCTATTTCGACTTTTAGAAAGGTTCTGGTGCTATTTTTCCATGAGTATGCCTACATTACATTTAATTAAATCAAATACACACTGCATAAATAAAGAATATGTTTGTGTTTACAACTTAAATAGTGTTCAGCATTCACAGTTAAATGAATGGAATAAAACAATGCCCCCAACAATAATTGCTTTTCTCAAAATGGAAAAATGGCTTTAACATGTGGTTTGTTAACTAGTTTGCTTTTATTTCCCAGGTCCTATCTCACTGTTTAAGGAGCACTGCTGTGTGCTGGAGGGCCTCCAGAGCATACAGCGGAGCAGGGCCCTGCCCGTCTCCCTTCCTGCGTTTGTTCTGGGGCTTTGATTTGGGCCAAGATGTCTAGGGCCTCATTCCAGCCTGCTGAGAGAGGTCAGATACTGCTGCCATCCAGAGAAGTCTGAGGAAAACTGGGGTGGAAGAGGTCAGGTTGTTAACGTGACTATGTGTGCATGTGTTTTGCAGCAATGTGTCGTAACTCTTTGATGCAATAAAGTCAGTCCACTCACTTCTGTGGAGTGCTTGCTCTATAATTAGGCAGACCTGTGACCGTGTCCTTCTGAATCCATACACCACAGCCCCCTTTAGAGCCAGACTTAGCACACTTATTCATTTACAATGTATGTGTGTGTTACTTTGGGCAATCAGAGAAACCAACTTCAATCCCAATTACTCTATACAACTTGTATTTGAT